TTGGAAAGCTTTGATTATGTAGTTTCCTTTTGGGCCAGGTTTCCTCTACCCAGCCCCTTTTTTGTTAATATATCTTCTTGTCTCTTAAAATATAAATAATTATTTAAAAAAACAAAAAAAGTAGGAACCTATTTGAATATTTTTTAAGAATAAAGACTAAATAGACACAATTCTGAAAAACCAGGGACCTATTAGAAACTTTTTGAAAACTTTTTGAGAACTTTTTGAAGTGCAGGAACTAAATGACACAACCTTGGACCTTCAAGGACCAAAATTATAATTTTAATCAATTAGAATACTCCATTTCCAGATGAGTGAATGGAGACTTACATTGATGATTATTCAAACCCATTTCAAGAAGTATCACCGGCTCTGGTGGCACACAACCATTGCTTTGGGGTCTCTAGATCATCACCTGTAGCTGTTGGAATGTGCCAGCTTCCGTCTTCAGACTCCTAGAATTAACTCAAAATTTATCAAAAGTCTAAAGATGATATCTCCTGTATATTGAATTTGTGCTTTTGCTCGATAATTAACGATTTGGCATGCTAATCATCTCACCTGAATGACAATTGAATAAGGAGGAGGCATATGGAGTTTCAGTCCATCTTCTGTCGATACCGATAATCGAACCTGCCAACATTGGATGGAGTGTTATAATGATGGTGCTTTGTTGTACTCGATGATGAAAATATCGATGTTGTTATCAATACCGATAACACAAATTTACAGATATATTGACATATCTTTGGATATCAACGAATATTWGGGAAAAAAATTACAGATATCACGGAAATTTTTATAGATTTCTTAATAAACTTTAGCAACAGATCGAAGGACATTTGGGGCTYCAGCATCTAAAATAGAGGTGGAGGAGCTGAATGATGCTGCGAAACAAACTTTCTAAGGCTATCTCCAAAGGGATGGGTCTAAAGAAAGTTAAAAATTTTCACTTGGGCTCTGTCATCAAGGACTAATATGGCTGATAAAATTCAAATGAAATGCCCAATCTTATTCTCAACTCAAACTGATGCATTTTACATGAAAAGGCAAAAGAAAATCGAGAAAAWTTGTTTTCTCATTGCCCCTAATAAGGTCAAAAAATGTTTTTGATGGAAAAACAAAGCTTTTGAGAAAAATGAAAAGGCCTACGAAATAAAATTTAACAGTTCAACGAGAAACAAATTTTCTGTTGACACATGAAAAGAAAGAAAAGTTCAAGGATATATACGCCTTAGGGAGTAAAGGAACAAGCAACCAAAACAATGAGTAGAATACCAAMAAAAATTACAAAAGTCAAACTTTGGAAGTTTAGGTGAACCTTTTCACTATATATTAATGAAAAGAAATCTCTTATTTCTGAAAAAGTTACATCTAGTGAGTGACTATAATGCTCAACAATTGCAAAGAAGCTGCCCAATTTAACAGTTGTCTATTTTCAGACAAAACATCATGAAACAAATGGATGTCCAAAAGTATTAGAACATTAACGATCCCAAGGGGAAATTCAAATTGAACCCAATTTGGAGTACATTTCCTCCATTCGTCCAAAGGTTATTTTTTGAAAAATAGATGATAGGATACTTTCTTGTATGCATGTGTGAGAGAGAGATACATGATAAGCCTGTGAAAATAGAGGGACAGAGAGAGAGAATGAATAAAACACCTGATGCTTTTCCTTCCACTGCGGGAAAAAGCTGTTCCCAAGCAATTGGAACAAGTGATCCCTCATTTCATCATTCGTCAATAGCAAACATTTAGAGTGCACAGCAGCATATAACCAGTACCTGTAGCAGACAAAAAGAATAGCCATGGGTCAACTTTACGCATCGAATTGAAGATGTCTATTGCACAAATCTTCAGAGATTACAAGGTTGGAGGAGGAATTTAGCTACTCCAACTATATCTTTTTTTGCACAAGAGCCACAAAAAACAGCCTAAGGRCAGGGGGAAGATGGCTCCCCCTCCCAAGAACTATTGAAGAAAGGCTCTCCAATTTTGCAAAATCGATGAGAGGTTGTAATTACAAAAGAATTTTTTATGCCTATAACACCACCAAGAAGTGYGTAACTGAACTGTATTACAAAAATTTTCAAAAAAAGAAGACTTATCCTCAAAAATTCTATTATTTCTTTCCATCCAAAGATTCCAAAAAATGGCTCTAGCGGCACAATTCCACAAAATTTTTGCTTTTCCTTTGAAATGCCAACCCTGCAAAGCTTCATTCATCCACCCTTCAACATTCTGAGGCATGCAACTGGAGTATCCAAAGATTTGAAGAAGAAAAGACCATCCTCGGAGAGCAAACTGACAGTGAAGGAAGGTGTGATCTATGATTTCCTCATTTTGTTTGCAAAGAACACAAACAGTAGGGAAAAGAGCCAAATTTGGACATCTTCTCTGGAGTCTGAACTATATCCTCCATAGCAAAGGCTAGTTTCTTGTCTCCAAACCCTCTAAACGACACCTTACTGTGATATAATAATAAATGTCGAACATGTAGGAGGGTTTACATGATAAATTTGAAACCATTGCTTTTCACTGGCCTAAACATTATGATGTTTCTATATTTAGTATATTTTTTGGATAAAGTTCAATTTGCACAAATTTATCTGTTAATATCTTGAGGAACAAAAACGAATGGAGATTGTAAACTCAAGGCCCTCAATGAAAACGTAAAATGTTACCTTTTGATACATAACATTTCATCTCGCTTAATGGCAACTCTGAGTTTGTCCTAATTATTACTGTAGAATTTATGTGCACATATTCTTTCTAATGGGATAGGATTTGTGGGAGGGGGTGCGAGCTGCTAAAGACAGGTCAAAGTTTCATCACATTCTTTGCCACAAGATTAAGGAAAAACAGGAGCACCATGAGAATAGGTCGATGTTTCCTTCTCATTTCTTCTCAGGACACAACACACCATCCAAAAACCACTAACTGATTTGGATTTCTAGCTTGAACCTTATAATCAGTATTTAGTCCCAAGGAAAGGATTATTAAGTTCCCAATAATCCAAACAACTAAACCTCGTACAGTGAAAATAAAATTATGATCTGACTGTATAYGGAGAAGAGAAATATAACCAACATAAAGAGTACTCAACTGATCTTTTCAATSTTATGGACAGAAACTAACACAGAACTTGAGCTCGTACTTTTAGTGAAACCCTGAAATTTTCAAACATTCAAGTAAATAACTAAATTATTGCAAGAAAGATGCATACCAGTCATCATTGGACCCAAGAGGGGTAGCATAGAGCGCACCACATTCTTTCCATGTCTCTATCAATTTCTTATTATTAGGATTTTGTGCAGGACCTCCAGTTACACGACTTCTATGCAAAATTATGAGTGGCATTCTTTTTGAAGGACTTATCTGACGCATTTGATATACAACTCTTTTGAGCTGCAATAAGAAAAGAGCAGTACTTACCCATCACAACAAACAGAGAAACAGTACTCTCTCTAAGGAACTCGTTCTGTATGAATTTATTGAATAAACTTCAGGATATATCACCTGGATAAAGCTGAACTGATGTTGATTACCAAGACCCACATTGGCACCATCAATAACAGCATCAAAAGGACCATGCTTTTCAAGCCACTCCTGAATTATTTCACCTTCAAAACCAGTCAGGATTTGGCCCAAAATAAATTAATATGTTACTTGCCTAAAGCAAAGATGTAATACTGATGATTGCCCAGATGTATAATGAATAAGTATGATGAAGAGAAGACATAGGAAGAACAAAAAGTAAACATTTATATTACACTCCTCACGGAATAGAAAGTTATTTTCATCTTAACCTCACCTGAATGTGACACAACCTATATTTCAATGAATTTGTACGGAGGAGTGACTCCCTCAAGAAGAATTTGTGGTAATGTGCAGGTTCTACCTTTTTTTTCTTGGTTAATTAGCCAATAACAGTGTCAAACATATTATGATTAAGAAGTTTGAAGAATCTCATAGAGTTAATGGGATAGAGCT